CCAGTAGAGGCTGAGCGTGGAGTGCTCCTGCTGCTCCAGCTCCTTCAGCTCGTGCAGCTCCTTGGCGCTGGCCACCGGCGTTTGCACCTCGAAGGTCATCTCGAAGCGGCTGTAGTCCACATGGAAGGCGCCTTTCTCCAGGGACATGCAGGGCTCGAAGCGGTATCCCCAGAGGATCTCGTCCTCCGTGTAGGAGGTGCGGGCTTGGCACGTCATTCCTGTGGGGAGACAGCAGCTGAGCTGGGCCAGGGCACTGCCACGAGGCCCCTGCTGCCCAACGAGGGGCTTCCAGCCCTGCATCACCCACTGCTCGGCAGAGCCAGCTTTGGCCCCAGGCATCTCTTGGGCAGGACGCCAGTCCTGAGCCCAGTTTTGCCTGGCATCTCCAGGAGCCCAAGGGAGCTGCCTGTCCCCACCCTGACCCCTGCCCTGGAACACTTGCCTGTGGCTTCCACAATGCCCTCGAGGATGATGATGATTTCGAACTGCTCCCGGCGCAGCGACTCGGCCGACATGTCCCAGAAGGGGCTGTGGCGGTTGATAACATGGCAGATGATCTGGGGCTCCACCAGAAACAGACGGTCCTCCCCTGTGTCGTAGCCCAGGTTCAGCTCTGACTGCTCCAGGGGAATGAACTCCCCCTCGGCTGTCTGCCGGGACTTGATCAACTTTGCCCGGATCTTGGCATCCACCATGTGGCTTTCCCGCAAGTCCCCCACGCGGAACATCAGGCAGAGTTTCTCGTCACGGCGGGAGATAACGCAGTTTTTGCTGAAGATGAGGGTCTGGGCGCGCTTCTTGGGCCGGGAGATCTTGACAAACATGCAGCCCACCATCATGGCGTCAATCATGGAGCCCACGATGGACTGAGCCATCAGCAGGATGACACCCTCGGTGCAGTTGGCTGTCACCATCCGGGTGCCGTAGCCGATGGTCCGCTGGCTTTCCACTGAGAGGAGCAAGGCAGAGATGAAGCCGTCCACGTTCTCGATGCATGCCTGCCACTCAGGATCGCCCTGGTGCCCAACGTCACCCCGCACCCAGGCGTCGAAGAAGTAGATGAAGCCAAAGACCACCCAGGTGACAATGTAGCACATCATGAAGACAAAGAGGAACCAGCGGTACTTGAGGTCCACAATGGTGGTGAAGATGTCCGAGAGGAACCTCTTCTTGTCCTGGATGTTGCCCAAGTTCACCTGGCACTTGCCCACCTTTGTCACGTAGCGCTGCCGCTGCCGCTTGCCGCTCTGG